TATATACATATAACAATCTACCACACACTGAACATAACAAGTATGATGTGAAAGGATAAATGACAACTGCAACTCACTGGATCTGGTTGAATTCCAGGGTCCTCGTCCGGATCTTGTGAGTATATCAAAGGCTCTAATGTGACTGTCTGGCCTGTGCCTCGAACGATCTCGCTGTTGCCTCCTTGCACCATAATACCAATCAAATCCGAGGGCTCAGTCTGTAACATTGTTTTGATTTGTTTCAGTAAGAGTGTTTCGGTACTTGCAGCACAAATAGGTCATACAAGTAGAAAAGAACAGAGGTGTTACCAGAGAGTAACATACAAAGAAAAGGAGGAGGGGTACGTTTGATAGAAGCTTGATAGGAAAGAAGGGACAGAGTACAACAGGCACTCGCCAACCACACATTGAGAGATTCAAATTATTGGAAATGCTTTATGCCTCCATCGAAAATGAACATCATGATCATTGCCTTTCTCACCCTGCATCAGGGTATAGATATGAACAAATACTTTCTATCTTTCCCTATCCCGAGCTACCTTCTTGCTGTTATTCCATGTCTTTCCTCTTTTCTGTACATAAAGTTCTGTGAATCCTCTCCAGGTTCCACGTAGTCTTCCCCTTTATCTTTAACCTTGTGGGGTTCAATCCATCACTTTTTTTGTTATGCAGCTACCTGGCTTCCTAAGAGTATGTCCAATCCATCGCCACCGCCTTTTTCCCGCCTCATTGAAACTGATACCAAGACCTAAAGATCGTGTACAACTTCTTCCAACGCATCTAGTTTTTTCTCCGCAATCTTTTCCGTACATGACATGTTTTGATAATTATTATTATGATTATTATTATATTTTATTTCACTGTCTGTAGCCTAGCACTCATTCACATCTGAGTGAAATGAGGAAAATTTATGTAAAGTGCCCCTCCAATGGACACAAAGCTTACATGAGTTGAGTCTTGAAACCCATAACTCACAACTTAACGATTACCAGTCTGGTGGCCTAACTGCCTCCCACAAACGCTCAAATCTTTCTCTAAAACAATTATTACAGCTTCATGCACCTTCAGAAAGAATCAGATTTTGTTTGTTTGTTGTTTGGTTGTCTTTTTTATCTTTTTTGTTTTGTTTTTGTGGAAACCATCTATCAGCATGCAACATTCATAATGACCCTCCAACGCAAGGGAAGGTTCCGTAACTGTGTATCCAGCTTCACCGAATTGCTTTGTTGACAATTCATAGCTTCAAATTTCAAGAGACAGTGAGAGTAGCCTGACAGCTACTACAAGCAGAACGGAAGGGAACATAATGTCATACTTTTTAGATTCGGAAAGAGCACAACAGGCTGAAACCATAATATCATAATGTGCATGAAGCTAAGGATTTGTCATCCAGATACATGTCACGTCATGCACTATCCCCAACAAACATAGCTACAGATCATCGATTTGAAAGATGTTCAATACAAGACCACTGGTCAAAGCCATTGTTACTTCGAGATAAGTAATGGGTTATTTTGTTAGCACATGGACAGACCGTTTCATTTGCGAGGAAGTCTAACTCCACAAGAAGAAGAAGAAGAAGAAGAAGAAGAAGAAGAAGAAGAAGAAGAAGAAGAATGATAAAAATAACAATACGTGTCATTTATACGACATCCAACCTCGATTAAAGTGCACAGGCTCTGTGTGCTTTACAATACAACAGTAACATGATATAAACAGGACATCGTTTTTTTACTAAATACTATCTCTCCACCTCCCCACCCCCATCCCCCAGACACAACTTAGATCAATTAGGAGGTGGGCTTCTTCCACCCATCCACATTAGAGCCAACCTCAATTAAGGGAGGGGGGGGGCTACACCTGAAGGCTATCTCGATTATTACTGTACCAAGTTTTACCAAATTTCGCACATTTAACAAGCATAGTAAGAAGTCTTGAAATTTGCAATCAAATTTGAGAAAATAACTTTCGTTTCCACGGATACAGCTGCCATATTGGATTTTATTGACATGTCTTACGTAAAGAATACCGCACTTATTTATCATTACAATTAGTTGTTTTTTCGCATGCGTGTTAGTGAAAATTAGATCTCTAAATTTATGTTTTGTTTTATTTCTAAACGAATTAGAAAACTTTTAATGAATTTTTTTCCTGAGGTAGTGTTCAAGTTCGCAAAAAATCCTTTAAAATCCACATTCCGGGCACAACCAAAAAAATTCTATCTCATATATAAAAAATTCAACGGAATATGTTTTAGTATTACATCTTCTTTTCATTCTGTATAAACTTCATGAAGATTGAATGAAAAATGGTAGAGTTATTCAAAACATTATAGAGAAAAATCGCGTTTTCAGAAAACGGCCGATAAAGAAAAATAAATATCGACTTTATGAGGAAATGGTGGTGACAAATAAGGCTTTTAGTGATTCTTACGGGATGGAATAGTTGTAGGACAGGCTCAGGAAGCTAAATATGCCTACAACTAAAACTCAACAATTTCGAGCCGAATCGGGACTTTGGTGGTGTAGACCCCCCACCCACCCACCCCCTCTTAAATGGGATACAACAACCAAATTACCAAATACGGATAATTGCTTTTCTAAAAAAGCAAAGGAAAAGAATAAAGCAAAAAACCCTCTACCCTGGAGAATCATTACGCTACAGAAGTCAGTATTTACAGCTGTTTAAGGATAAGTACCAAGTAAGTCATAATGAAGAAACATACTATTACGTTGAGGATATAATATAACTTTTTTTCTGACCCTCAAGTGCGGTTGTAATCTCTTTTCTCACACTCTCTCTCTCTCTCTCTCTCTCTCTCTCTCTCTCTCTCTCTCTCTCTCTCTCTCTCTCTCTCTCACC